GACACAAAAAATCGCTATTTTTATTGGTTAAAATTAGGGGTGCACTACAATGCAGGTGCACGAAAAACTTAAACCCTATTAAATATATATAATCAACCCTCTATATAGTTATCTTCTATACAATCACATCATATATAATCATATTTTTATTTAAACCAAGCTATAATTTAATTTATAAGAAAAAACCTTCATATAAGCACAACCTTTTTATAAGCATATTTTTAAAAAAAATTTACTATATGCATAACTGTGTGATTGTATAGAAAGATAACTGTAGCTTTATAAAATTTGTATATAATATATTTATTTATTACATTAATACTATAGTTTTATATATTTTATACTATATATTTACAGTATTTATATTAAAATTTATTTATTCTAATTAGCTAATTTTTAATAGATTTATTATTTTATATTATAAATACAATACTATAAATGTTTATTTTTAAAAATATACTAAATAATTAATACAGTACTATATAGTATTAAAGATACTAAGTAAAAATATTTAGAACTTTTAAAAAACCTCGTATAATTTAAAATTTAAACTACAGTATTACTGTATATATACTATATATACTGTACGTAACTATTCTATATATTTCAAACTATCTATATACAGTCGACCCTCTCAGAATCGGTATGCATGGTGGACAGGTTTTGTATCAGCTTTGAGAGGTTATCGGATTTGAAAACATAACATAACTATTAGATTTATATAACGTGAACGGACTTAGTAGATTAATTTTTTATCAGATTTGACAGGTTATCGGTTTTGACAGGATCGGTTTTGAGAGGGTTGACTGTATATATATACTCTTTTAGCAAAAACATAGTAATACCAACAACATAAATACAGTTTTTGTTTTTTTAAAACATCTTTTTTTAAAAATTTTTAAATTATTTCTATATATATACAGTATATTTTTTGTTAAATTCTATACACAATAAAAAAATATAATACAAATATATATATACTGTAATAAATACAGTAAAAATACAGTATATATATACAGTATATATTTACAATATATACTGTATATTATAAACGTATATACTGTATATTTATATAATACAGTTACGAACTAACCAAAATGGTTTTTATATGCTATATACAGTGCTATATTATAAAAATATCCGGTTAATTTCAATTAAAAAGCCGAATCACTAGCCACTTTATAAGAACAAAAATTTACTTTTTATGGCTTAATAAGATTTTTCTTTAAAGTTTTTCAAATATTTATCTGTTACGTATCATATCAAATAATTTTTTATCGTAATAGAGTTAGACTATTTTAAATTATATATACATAATAAAAACCCTTATTGGGTTTAGCAATTGTAATAAATTCGGAATAGAGCTGCAAAAAAGGAGGGAAAATGATAGGATATTTCCCCTTTTTGCAGCATAAAAACAATACTAATATTCGTATATTTTTATAAATATTATATCATGTATACGTGAAAATTGGTAGTGTTGGGAACCTGGATCAAAAATTTGTAATGAACTAGCTCGTGAGCTACAGGAATCATGGTCACAGGACCTTAGGTTCACGATCCTAAGGTTCTAAATTTAGACAAGCTCGGATTATTCATTTAACCAACTAACTTCACAAGGAGAAAGAGCTACACAATGAACTGAAAGAAATCAAATCGGCAGAATATGCCCGTGAAAGAATACCATGATCAAAATCATTGAATGTCGTAGAGGTAACACAAGGAGTCCACAACAAAGGTCCTGTCACGATAAAAATTAATCTTTGAATCAAATATATTATATAGCGTGTCATTTACGCTTGATCCTTTGAATCAATAAGTATAGAAGAATGATAAATTAGCCAGATTTACGATAATGTTCACGACAATGCTTAGGAATACATAATTTAAAAAGTTGATAAAAAAAAAACTTTAGTAAGAGAAAATAAACGCGCTGTGCATTCTTCTCGCAGTAAGATCACACAATAGTTTGGTGTAACCTCTTTATGCAGTCATTTCTTCTTTGCCCTCTCGCAGAATTTGTGGTCTAAACCTGAACATAATCAGTTAACATATCAATAAATGCTTAAACTGAAAATCCTTTCAATGAAAATTTTTTATTTATATCAAACCCCACCAGAAAAATTTTAGTGAATTTCATCAGTGCAACATGAACTAATCTTTTTTAAATAATCGTCTTGTAAAAATACTCTCATGAGAGTGATGTAGATAATAAAACGTATTACCAAGATGCAGTCTTTTTTCAAGGCGCGAAAGCCACAAGCTAATGATGACCATAATGGGTAACATTAATACGCAATGATACATTACTTCATCTATTTCTGATACAGCCCCGAAATCTGATACTATCGGTGACTGTCTTATAGTTATCCTGAAATCACTTGATCAAAGTTCCAAGTCCTCGTGCAACGAGGCCGTGCGTAATTTGTCATTTCAAAGTATCACGACTAATGATTCGTTAAGATATAAAACAATTGCAGAGTTTCACAAAGAACGAGGAAGTTTTTTTTCGGAAATCAGGGAACCCTGACCCAGAACTCAATAAAAGCAAAAAAAAACAATAAAACTTCGGTTCTAATCTTCAACGAAACTTTATGAGAAAAACCACTGTGCTTTGTTGTTGTGCTGTGGCCTTTTTCATAAATAAAGGTATGTGATTTAAAGGCCCCGGAATGTAAAAAAAAAAAACAAAGGTTGTATGTTGTATGTATATATTTTTTATTTATTCTTGACGTGAATTGATCGAAATCGTAAAGATTCGGACAATACCCAAACTAGTTTTTTTTTTCTCCATTTCTCTTTTTTCTCTAAAAGGTTCTCTTCTTTCGAGAACCATGAACCTTTCCTTTTATTCTTACGTTTACAAGATTGAATTTTACTCTTACATGATGACAAGACGCAACTGTGTCTTCTCGACAGAGTTTACTGACACTCTTAGAAGGACTACAGTGGAGTTATGTCTTCTCTAAAGGGTTATAAGTTTCTGGTGGAATCGCAATTAGGTAGACCCTTTTCTAGCTAACACTAATTAGCGTTTTATTATAAAGTGATTCTCAAATTCTCGTGTTTGCCTACTTGTTCAACTTGTCAAATTCGCTGAAATTCACTGAAATTCACTGATAATTTGATTACATTATTATTTTATTAATTGATCGATCGATTTTTGATAGTTTAATGATGAATGAACTTTTTAATGATTTTCTAAATTGTTTTATCTAACCAAAATTTCTACTTTTTTTTTTTTTCTTTTTATTATTAGATATCTCTTCGCGCTCATTACGAAGGATATACGGCGTAGCCTCATTATATTATGTGGGTAATTCTTTTTATGATAATTATTTATTTTTGTTTTTTGATCTGCTAATTTCTTTTTTTTTTTTTTTATAATTAGTATATTAAATAAATATTATTTCTGTCAACAGTTCCCTTCATAAGCAATGTTTAAAGCGGTCCTGTGACATATTATACGAACTTGTCTTGGATCTAAATCATATATGAACGTATAAAATGGTTGTATAGGCGTAGCCACTGGTTGTTCTAATCCTGGAGGGATAAGCGGACGTTGATATTTTGAACGGAGTTTCGGAGTTACATTAATCGGTGGTAGAGCATGTGAACTTTGAGTTATGCCACCGTATGAATCCACGTACCATTTATGCTGAATCCGACGCATTATATGATGAATTACACGTAAAATCCAACCACCTTCATTCTTTATATTAAAAGCTTGATTTCTCCATTTTGCCGCTTTAGTCTTAAAAAATTTAACCGATTTATCATCATCTCTTAAATTGGAACATAAATTTGTTAAAAGAGCTAGAATTCCACCAGATTTTTCAATTATGCCTTTTCCAAATTTAGCTCCATCATTAATAGCTTTTTCAACAATATCAGCAACTAAAGCCATTTGACCCGATCTCTGAACTGTTTGAAAACGATGTAAATTACCATTACTATCAACTGAATGATAACCTACTCCACCCCGATCTTTCCAGTAACATACATGAGTATTAGCTTGAGTTAAAGAAGCTAAAAAAATAGGATCATTTGGTCTTAAAGTATGAGCTCTTTTATAATATAAAAGAGCATTAGACCAAGTAGCAGTTAATTTGGCAATATCACCTATATAACAACATCCAAAAGCAAATCTAATCAAATGATTTTCGTCAGAGATGACATGAAAAGATAATAGTTTTTCATATACTTCAGTCATTCCTGGAATATTTCCATCATTATATAAACAATCGGCCAAATTAATATAAGCATCTACATTTTTAGGGTCCAATTGAATACCTTCACTAAGGTAACCAATGGCAGCCTGACGACAAGCAGCAACACCAGTAATCTTGTTTAACATAGCGGCAACTTCGAAAAAAATTTGAGCAGAAGGATAACACGCGCAAGCCAAATAAAGAAATAGTAAAGAAATAGAACTAAGTGGAGTAACATCATTTAAAAAATATTGACATTCTTTTGGATGAGATTCAAAGGCGGAGCTTATCTCATAAAGAACACCAAAGACTTGTTTTTTCGCCAATCTTATATCGGATTGGGAAGTTAAACCTAAATGACCAGGAAATAATCCACTTGTTGTTGGAAATAATAAATCAAGTAATCTTAAAGAGTCATTAACAGGTAAAATAATGAATGGAACTTGAGTTTGATCATAATTGCTAAATCCAAGACATAATATTATATCATCTAAAAAAGATTTTAAAGATTTTCCATTCAAAGCTATTTCCAAAACTGAGAAACAATCTATAAGTGCCCCAAAATAATCATTGTTCCGTTTTTTGAGTTGGGCACGACGATAAAAAAGAGATTGTATAAAACCCACATCCAACATCTTTATGGAAGAATTTGGAGAATGTTGTAAAACATGATTTAATACATCCAAAGCTTCTTGAAGAAGGGAGGGATCATTAGTGAGGGCATCGGTCAAATAATTAGCGAATTCCCAGTTTGTTGGTTTAATACGAATAACGTCGTAAGAAGTACTTAGAAACTGACTTTTATCACCATTTTTGTTGTAACATTTTGCTAAACCTATCATAGAGTCAATATTATCAGGTCTTAAAGCTAAAATATTACGATGAGCGTTAATGGCCTCAAGCCAATTTCCAGATAGTTCATGAGCCTGAGCAAGAGCCCCATATATCTTAATTTGAATATCAGTGAAGCCATTATAATAATTGTTTAAGGCAGATAAATGATTCAAAGCTTGCCTAGATAATGGAATAGCCTGATGTTGCATAAGAATTTCAAGAAGAAGAGCATCTAACCAAGCCCAAAAATTCGGATCAGTTGGAAGGAGCGGTGAATAAGGCAAATCGGTCATAATAGGAAATTGATTCATGGAGTAATTTTGATATACTCTATAAAATTTAAATAAAACTTTTGTACGAAATGTGAACAGTGTCATTTTTTTTAACCTTATAATGTTTACGGGAATAAAACATTCGATAAAAGTCAAATAAAAAAAGATGTAGTAAATGCAATCAACATTAGGAGAATGCAAATTACAGAAGACGTACCTT